CTAAAAGGCGAAGGAGCCCCAACCTGGTGAACTTTCTAAAGCTCTCAGGCTAGGCAAGGATTGAGGATTTGGAGTGGTGCTCTGGCTTTTCAGATGTTTGCTCATCCCAAATGCCCTGCAGGCAGCAAGCAGTGGCTCCATGATGTCCTAAAAGCTACCAACCAGAAGGTCCCCACGGAATGAAGAGGTCCATGACTGGCCAGGGGATGGAGGGTTCAGTTGCCTTTGGGAAGCCCAGTGCTGGCACCTCTTGTGGGGTGTGGTTGTTCCCAAGGTCTGGTCCCAACCCTCCCCAGCTCCGCAGCTCCCATCCTGATACCTTTCTCCGCTGGGATCGCCTTATGCTCCTCGGGCTTGGGGTTCTTGGCCATTTCAAACAGGAGCCACTTGTGCATCCAGGATTCAAAGGACTGCAATGAGGGGAACCAGCACGTTAACTGGCACCACGGGGAAACCGTACCACAAGCTCCAGCTTGGACCAGGGAAGGTTCACCACCATCTTCCTTGGGGTGGGAGTAACCCAAGCCTGGCTCAAGCAGGACTTTGTTTTTCCAGGTGGAGATGCCCCAGCCCCTCCCCAAAGCAGGGTGCTCCTGGAAGGAGAAGAATAGGATGGCAGCAAGCACTGACCTTCCAGTCCACATCAGTCATGGTTTTCTTCAGGCTCTTCAGGTTGCCCATCAGGTTCTCCTTCAGGTCCGGGAACATCTTCGTGGGGTCTGCTTGCTGCAGAGTGAGACAGGGCAAAGAAAAACAAGGTGAGAAGGAGTGAAGCTCTGCTTGTATCAGCCAGACAGGCACTCCAGGAGGCCAGGAGTTCCCACGAGCTCTAAGTGCCCCAAGAGACTCCAGATTGAGTCTGGAGCACAGGAGGCAGCTGTGTGGTCAGTGAGAGAGTGGGGACCTTACCAGCAGCAGGTGCTTCACTTGGTCCTCAGTTTTGTTGCTAGCAGGAGCCGTGTCCTTGAGAGAAAAAACAAAGGGGCAGCGTGAGTGTGAGGGCTGGCAGCAAGCCCTGAGGGCAGCAGCCGGTGCCGAGCAGCGGTGGGCGTCTCTTACCATGCTGCCTACAGCGGGGGCAGGAGGCATGACCCTCATGGCCATGGCCGTGTTCACCATGGCCACCTTCATCTTGTTCGCTGGCTTGGCGCCTGCCAAGGAAGGAACAGCATGAGGGCTGCTGGGTTGGGTGGTCCAGGGGGGACCCATCCCCTCTCCCCGGCCAACCCCACCACCACCACACCGGTGCCCATGGGGCTACTGACTGGAGGGCAGCTTCCTCTGCAGTGCCTCCAGCTGCAGGGTCTGGGAGGTCTTGGTCAGCTTGCTGATCTGCCCACTCTGCTGGTAGACGAAGTAGACAGTGACAGCCTGGCCGGCGATCAGGAGAGCCACCAGGATGGAGAGCGTGGAGAGGGCGGCTTTGCGGCCCAACGCAGACCTGCAGGACACGGAGGGGGAGCTCAGCCCCAGCCACCGTCAGCACGCGATGTCCTCATACCCTGCCACCACTGCCCACCCCAAAACACCTCCTGTAGCCCACATCACCCCCTACCAAGCCACCCCAAACACACACACCACCCCTCCCAGGGGGGGGTTTTGCAGCCAGCCGAATGCAAATTCCCCCTGTCGCCGGCGTGCAGAAGTGAAACCTCAGCGTGAAGGTCACCCCTCTGCACTGGGGGAACCGAAACCCACGGCGGGGGCGAGCGGGGGGA